CATTTCTAATTGTTTTAACGGGTTCTTGGAGTAGGGCGGTTTTTTTTTTTTTCTGTTGAAGAATTTGTTTACGTTGAAAACTGCTTATATAGTACTATCAAAAACGCGCTCCTTTCACTCACAAAACTTTCTTGTTTTCAGAGAAAAGGTTATCTAGAAATATGGGAAAAAATTTTTGGCATTTAGAAATCACACGCCTACTTCATTGGTAAAATTTGTTTTTTAAAGCTTGTGAAGGCTACTGCAGTACGAGAAAAGTTATATGCATGAAAAGGAAAAGTAACTAAGGTTCGAAAGTCAGGTATTCGTGTCAACATTTCTTGGGTATTTGAATGTAAGTCGTTTTAAGAACTTTGGATAACCAGTAAATTGATAAGGAATCACTGGGCGCAAGCTTTAAAAAGAAATTGCAAAATCGCCTTCTAAAGAGTGAGAAATTTCGATATACTTCAAATACTTCTATTTTTCTGATAAGAAGTATTTGAAGTAGAGAAAAGAGTGCACTATGATAATGCCCAACATAGAAATCAGCATCATTTCAGGGTAAATTTTTGTATTGAGTAGGAAGTTAATCCTTTATTTTATGGTGGATATTTTCTCAAGAATGAAAGAGCAATTGAGGGCGCTGCCTACTGAAAATGGTTTATTGCATCAGGAAAACGTGCTGTATAAGCTTGGGTCTCGGGTTTTTTATTGAGGTTACATATTTTTTTATTTTCACGCGTATAAGGCGCGAGCTGTGAAGCTACTAAATGATGAATCGCCAAAAGTGACTGATCCTAGTTGTTGCTGGTACGAAAACGATTTTCAGTCGGTAAAAATGTTTGTCGCAGAACTCAAAAAATGACCATTTTAAGCTGTCTTTCAGCGTTACGATGCTTGAGGAATTTTTGAACAGGTTTAAATTTGGTTTGAAATTACTAGGTAATCAAATTGTGTTATGTTGTTTTCCTCCTTTACGGATGGCTACAGTATTTTGGAATATTGATTCAATAAATAGCTTTTTTTAACCAATGTTTCTGAACAAATTTGATTTTTTTTTTTTTAGATTATCAACATTTAAATTCAGTCTTATGGTGTGCTGTGACATATCGTATCTTGTACTGAACTATTTAGTAGTGTAGAGTTTTTGCTATTTTAATTTCCAGATTTTTGAGTTAACGCAATGACGGAGGTTGAGCAGAAACCATTTAATGATGGCGAGGCTAGTATGGAAGAAGTAGCTAAAGCTTACATGGATATAAGACAGCGTAAAGATGGCCCAAGCGCTGCCCCACTCGATGCGAAAATTGCTGCGATGCTGCCGAAGGTACGCTTACTTGCTTTTACGTTTGAAGGATGTTGCAGAAGTTTCGGGAGGGCCAAAATGGTCATACCAGAACTTGATACGGTTATGGGTTCTTCTGTTTCGTTACGTGGGAAGGCATTTGCTCCCGTTGGATTTCTATTGTAACTTGTGTACTATTTATTCTGATTTTAGCAGGAACCAGCTGCCAATAATTCTTCAACAGATGAAGTAGAGAAGGAGAAAGACCGTGGGAAACGTGAGAAAAGGAGTAGAGATAAGAGCCGTGATAGAAGCAGGGAGAGAAGTCGTGACAGAAGCAGGGACAGGAGCCGAGATAGGAGCAGGGATAGAAGTCGTGATAGAAGTAGGGGTAAGAGCCGTGACCGCAAAAGGCGCTCGCGAAGTAGAAGCAGAAATCGGGATCGCCGTCGTTCCAGATCGTATGGTTTTTCGTGTCGTTTGTATACCATGTCTACTTTGTTGAAATGTCTAATTTTTTGTGTATTTAGCCATGAACGACGTCATCGTGATCGAGACCGTAGTCGCAGTCGCGAAAGAGAGAAGCCGAAGAAAAAGTATAAGTTCTGGGACGTGCCACCAACAGGTTACGAGCATCTTACACCGAAGGAGTACAAAGAGCTACAGGGTGATTTTTTGCAGTTTTTCAAAGTAATTTCGGGTTCGAGGCATCAGGAAAGCCATTCTCACTTTTTTTTTTTTT